ACGCAAAAAATAAGAACACACAGAACGCAAAAATCACGACACACATAGAACGCAAAAATCAAGACACACACAAAAAAACGAAAAAATCAAGACACACACAGAACGCAAAAATCAAGGCACACACAGAAAGCAAAAATCACGACACACATAGAACGCAAAAATCAAGACACACACAGAACGCAAAAATCAAGACCCCACACAGAACGCAAAAATCACGACACACGTAGAACGCAAAAATCAAGGCACACACAGAACGCAAAAATCAAGACACACACAGAACACAAAAATCAAGACACACACAGAACGCAAAAATCAAGACACACACAGAACGCAAAAATCAAGACACACACAGAACGCAAAAATCAAGAGACACACAGAACGCAAAAATCAAGACACACAGAACATGAAGGTGACGTGTACTGTTCCAGTCTCAGTATTGTAAATGTTTTTATATTTTATCTTCTGCTTGTTGTTTCTGCGTCTGTGATGTCTGTTAAAGTGAGGCAGTAAGTTCACAGACACTCTACTGTGTTGTACAGCCACGTATTACCAGACAACGGGTGACACACCTGGTGCAGCACAGACACGTCACACTAACAGACCAGGTGCAGCACAGACACGTCACACTAACAGACCAGGTGCAGCACAGATACGTCACACTAACAGACCTGGTGCAGCACAGATACGTCACACTAACAGACCTGGTGCAGCACAGACACGTCACACTAACAGACCTGGTGCAGCACAGACACGCCACACTAACAAACCTGGTGAGCACAACAGACACGCCACAACTAACACACCTGGTGCAGCACAGACACGCCACACTAACAGACCTGGTGCAGCACAGACATGTCACACTAACAGACCAGGTGCAGCACAGACACGCCACACTAACAGACCTGGTGCAGCACAGACATGTCACACTAACAGACCAGGTGCAGCACAGACACGTCACACTAACAGACCTGGTGCAGCACAGACACGTCACACTAACAGACCTGGTGCAGCACAGACATGTCACACTAACAGACCAGGTGCAGCACAGACACGTCACACTAACAGACCAGGTGCAGCACAGACACGTCACACTAACAGACCTGGTGCAGCACAGATACGTCACACTAACAGACCTGGTGCAGCACAGATACGTCACACTAACAGACCAGGGCAGCTCACAGACACGTCACACTAACAGACCTGGTGCAGCACAGATACGTCACACTAACAGACCTGGTGCAGCACAGATACGTCACACTAACAGACCTGGTGCAGCACAGACACGTCACACTAACAGACCTGGTGCAGCACAGACATGTCACACTAACAGACCTGATGCAGCACAGACATGTCACACTAACAGACCTGGTGCAGCACAGACATGTCACACTAACAGACCAGGTACAGCACAGACACGTCACACTAACAGACCAGGTGCAGCACAGACACGTCCACAGACCTAACAGAGACACACTTGGTGCAGCACAGACACGTCACACTAACAGACTTGGTGCAGCACAGACACATCACATTAACAGACCTGGTGCAGCACAGACCAAGTGCAGCACAGACACGTCACACTAACAGATCAGGTACAGCACAGACACGTCACACTAACAGACCAGGTGCAGCACAGAGACGTCACACTAACAGACCTGGTGCAGCACAGATCAGGTGCAGCACAGACACGTCACACTAACAGACCAGGTACAGCACAGACACGTCACACTAACAGACCAGGTGCAGCACAGACACGTCACACTAACAGACCTGGTGCAGCACAGACCAGGTGCAGCACAGACACGTCACACTAACAGACCAGGTACAGCACAGACACGTCACACTAACAGACCAGGTGCAGCACAGACACGTCACACTAACAGACCTGATGCAGCACAGACACGCACACTAACAGACCTGTGCAGTACAGACACTCCACCTAACAGACCTGGTGCAGCACAGACACGTCACACTAACAGACCTGATGCAGCACAGACACATCACACTAACAGACCTGGTGCAGTACAGACACGTCACACTAACAGACCTGGTGCAGCACAGACACGTCACACTAACAGACCTGATGCAGCACAGACACGTCACACTAACAGACCTGGTGCAGTACAGACACGTCACACTAACAGACCTGGTGCATCACAGACACGTCACACTAACAGACCTGGTGCAGTACAGACACGTCACACTAACAGACTTGGTGCAGTACAGACACGTCACACTAACAGACCTGGTGCAGTACAGACACGTCACACTAACAGACTTGGTGCAGTACAGACACGTCACACTAACAGACCTGGTGCAGTACAGACACGTCACACTAACAGACCTGGTGCAGTACAGACACGTCACACTAACAGACTTGGTGCAGTACAGACACGTCACACTAACAGACCTGGTGCAGTACAGACACGTCACACTAACAGACCTGGTGCAGTACAGACACGTCACACTAACAGACCTGGTGCAGTAGGGTTCCCAACAAAAATAATTCACACTTGTGGAGTGTCTTGGATAATCGTGAAGACATTAATTATCCCGGGTGTTGTCTCCTCTCTTAACCCCCTTTTTCTTCCCTTTTCAAAACCCCTTTCTCCCTACCCTTATTTTTACTTCCTTCATGACATCAAACACATCCTCACTGCTCTCTCTCTCTCTCTCTCTCTCTCTCTCTCTCTCTCTCTCTCTCTCTCCCTGATAATCACCCTCGCGTGCTACAAAGATCATCGTCGGCAGTGATTATAAAATCAGCAAAGAAGGGAAGTTACCTGACCTTGTTATGATCTCAGGAACTTTGCAAGGAGAGACGTGAACATGTCTTTTTATATATATATATATATATATATATATATATATATATATATATATATATATATATATATATATATATGTATATATATATATAAAATATATATATATATATATATTATTCTCAACCCGGTCAAAGGACTGTCACCCTCTGCAACATTTACAGACATTTGCAGGCGGCTCCTTTCGTACATCAGCTTTTATTCTGGTACTCACTCTGACTGCTTTGATCAGGTGCTTCACTTGCAGCTTCCATGTGAGTTTTACCCTGGCATCCCATCAGCTAGTAATTGAGGAAGCGTTTATATAATTGCTCTTTTTAAGCCTCCAGTAACTGCTCTGCATTTAACTATGAATCTGTTAAAGCTCTCCTGTGTAAGTATTACCCTGGTATTGCTCTCACTACCCTCTATTTTATCCTGAACTCTAAATATATATATAAATATATGTAATATATAAACAAACATATGCAATATATATATATATATATATATATATATATATATATATATATATATATATATATATATATATATATATATATATATATATATATATATACATACATACATACATAAATACATATATGTAAGTGTATATTGGAAGGATTAGATGCTGATATAGCGAAAGTTAATGAAGAAGAAGAAGAAGAAGAAGAAGAAGAAGAAGAAGAAGAAGAAGAAGAAGAAGAAGAAGAAGAAGAAGAAGAAGAAGAAATAGAAAATCAAGAACAAGAACAATAAATTAACAGATGAATAAACAGAAGAGAAACAAAATTTTTGGAGGCATATATTGTAAATACATAAAAGGTCATGACGGTATTGCCTTGCTTGCTGCTGGATTACACAAATATTATTACAGATCTATAAGCCTTTGTACAGCAGTTATCAAACCTTTTGAATCGTGTGTGTGTGTGTGTGTGTGTGTGTGTGTGTGTGTGTGTGTGTGTGTGTGTGTGTGTGTGTGTGTGTTATGATAGGTTAGAAGCTGACCAGTTAAAGGTGATCGTCATCAGAGACGTTGTAAACATAGACTGGACCGGTTCTCGCCCATCAGGTGCATGGTGAGGATAGACATAACGTATTTTTATCATCAGGGATGATGTAAACCCTGACACTGAGAGTTTTAACTCATCAGAAGTGTCATAAACACTGACAGACGGCTGATAGCTGATAGTTACATTACTGCTAATAACTGTGGTCAAATGTTAACTATTTTGGGCAAAATGTCGAAATGTTCAGTGGTTCATCGTTCGGGGTCGACCTTGATATTGGTGAAGGGCTCTTGATTCAGTGAACCAGAGCTTGTTATAATAAGGTTATGTAAGTTTTCTCTGGTTCTTTTGGTACAAAATTTCTAATCTTCACGCAGCGCTGTATAGTCCTTGTGGCTTAGCGCTTCTTTTTGATTATAATAATAATAATCTAATCTTCACATTATCATAAATGGAGAAAAATATCTAAACGTGTAAGAGAAAATTTTAGAAAGGACTTAATTTTAAATGAGTTCTTGCTAATTGAATGTGTGTGCAGGAAGAACTTCCTGAGATGGATAAATTCAAGGAGCTACATCTCGCAAACACCAGGCACAACGTTCCGTCGATAACCATTGTCTTGCTACACACACTAGTCTGCTGACCCAGGAAAGCTGCAAGCTTTGTGTGTGGCGAGGGATGTCTCTCAATACTCACAAATACTCACGAATACTCACAAATACTCACAAATAGATTTCTGCGCAACTAGCAAGAGATTCTGGCAGGATATTAACAGATTATAGAACTTTCATTCATTTTTTTCAGTATTTTACACCGGCAAGACTCACCTCTGTCTCTATACTGTTTCGTTCTTCTGTGTATATTGCTGTATAATCCTACGGGTTTAGTGCTCCCCCATGATTATAATAATAATAATATGTACTTGAATCACTGGAGTGTTACTTATATCTCTATTCTGCTTTGTTAAAAGCTGTAGGAGGAGGATTAGTCTGAGAGCGAGCAGCGAGGGCCATGATTCCCGGATATTTCTATATGTTATCAATAAGGAACACAGTGTAAGATTATACTCTGTGTATTATATTTATTTGTGGCGCCAAACCCGTGTGGGCCATTCAAAGGTGGACAGGCAGAAATCACTTAGCATACTACAGGGGTTGACAAAAAAAAGGTTTGTTGATCTTACCTGCGTATTTATTGAAGTAGAGATCGACTGCAGCCAGTGGACCGTAGGTGGAGGAGGTCCTGGAGTCTCTGTACCTCACAATGATGGTGTAGTTCTCCAGCGGTCCTCGTAGACCTGTCTCTCGCAGGTGCCTCACGGCCAGTTCTACCACCGGCAGCACCTTGACGCGAGAGTACTGATGTGAGGCGTTACATGGCACCAGTACCGCCACATCGATCACCCGATCGTCGCCAGTTCCACTTTCTGGCGCCGTGGTGGGAGGTGGTCCAGCCTCACACTGATCAGTGAGGGATCTCTTACTCACCTTGCTGCTACTTGTGTTAGCCTCACAGCAATGCTCTTTTTGTGTTGACCCTTGTTTTACAGTGTTTCTATGTGTGTTTGCTATTCGTCTGCCGTCCGGTGTGTGTGTGCTGTTTGTTATGTGTGTGGTGGAGTTTGTGTAGTGCTTCACAAGGTCCACCACAGTATCCTGCTCTTTGTTTACCTCCAAGATGTTTGGGTTACTGGAGGCTTGTCGTACTCTCGAGTGTCTGTAGATAGCCAGACGGCGATGCGGCTTCAGGTCTATTGCTGGCTCCTTAGACAGTTCATGGATGGTGGCTGCAGATGCTGCTGCTGCTGCCCCTGTTGCAGCAGCAGCTGCATTCATGGCTCCTGCTGTCACCATCATCACCGTCAGTCCCAAGAACCATCCTCGCCAAGCGCCCATCTTCACAGTCACCTCTACACTTCACTATCCGTTACCCTGACGTAACCTACTAAGCGCCAAGTTACAACACACCTACGTAATTCCTTGAGCAAATGGCAAAGTAGAAATCTCTTAGGCTATAATTCCTTCCCTTAATGTTCGTGTTTTTCCAATACACTAACGCTATATGATACAAAAAATTCCAGTATTTTCAGAGCATGTTCACTTTCCATAGCAGTTCCAGAATGTCCACAACACCACCTGGAAAAGAGATAACGTTGTGAGAACTTTATTAATACAACAATAGACGTAAACAATGTATATCTCATAACAAATAAACAGACAAATAGTTATGTACGGACTAATAAGCACTAATAACTTGATTAATTATTATTAAATAATAATAATAATGGAAATTAGTGTTAATAATTATTATTAATCTTATTATTATTATTATTAATTTTATTATTATTATTTGGCTTAGCGCTTCTTTTTGATTATAATAATAATATTATTATTATTATTATTATTATTATTATTATTATTATTATATTGATTATACCTAGGGTAATAATATCTAGTTATGGATAACTTGTACCCTAGCTCTTGGACCCAGTACATAGATTATATATATATATATATATATATATATATATATATATATATATATATATATATATATATATATATATATATATATATATATATATATATAATATATTATATATATATATATATATATATATATATATATATATATATATATATATATATATATATATATATATGCAATAAGATCACAGTAAACAGGTGATTTCAGAATATGCAAAACAACCACTCTGAAAGAATAGAGAAATTCCAAGGGCTTTCGTTCCTTGATAATGTGAGTAATCACGAAAGCGCTTGGAATTTCTCTATTCTTTCAGAGTGGTTGTTTTGCATATTCTGAAATCACCTGTTTACTGTGATCTTATTGCATATATATATATATATATATATATATATATATATATATATATATATATATATATATATATTATATATATATATATATATATATATATATATATATATATATATATATATATAATATATATATATATATATATATATATATATATATATATATATATATATATATATATATAATATATGCATCAGGCCCATGTCTGAGCTGGTAGAGTCGAGTTATTGAGTACAGTTGACAGCCACTACAGACTGACAGTCAAGCTTGACGGATAAAACGGTCAAGGAAGATTAAGACGTTGTCAAGTAATCGCGATAAGACGATATAAATACGAACAGATGCAATAAACAGGAAGATGGTAGAGAGAGTGAAATGAAGAAAAGATGTTAAAAATAAATGTGAAGTGATAAATAGTAACACGATAGTGAAAAGGAAAATAAACGAACGCTAAACGAGAAGAGAAGAAACAAATTTAACGTTAGTGGTATTCAGTAACTAGAAATTGAAGAATTTGACACCTGTGCAACACCTGGATACCTGGGTATAAAGATACCAAAGTGTTGCACACGTGTTTGCGTCATTAAGTAGTAAATACGACGAGGGTACAACAGTGGCTGGGTTGGTAGCGCACTCAGCTCACACATTGTCAGTGGTTCGATCTCCGGTACGGGTGGATATGCTGGAGAGTGTTTCTTAAAGACACCTGCTGTCACTTACCTAGCAACAAGTAGGTACCTGGGTGTTAGTCGACTGGTGTGGGTCGCATCCTGGGGACAAAATTGACCTAAGTTGCCCTTAATGCTCTGCATAACAAGAGGATTTCTATGTAGTAGTATGTCATTGATGTCAGCTATGGTCTGTATAAGTTGTGTCATGTATACCTTGTATATTTACTTGTAGGAATAATAATGATTATTATTATTATTAATTATTATTATTAATTATTATTATTATCATTATTATTATTATTATTAATTATTATTATTATTATTATTATTATTATTATTATTATTATTTATTATTATTATTATTATTATTATTATTATTATTATTGTTATTATTATTATTACTATTAGTATTATTATTATTATTAATAATTATTATTATTATCATTATTATTATACAGCCAGAAAAAAGGAAAACAAACTACATTTAAAACCAGAAGCAACGAATATGAAGAGGGTACAGCAAAACGAAACGAAAAAATAAGAACAGACCTAAGAAGAAAAAGATAAATGGGCAAGAGAGACGCGGTCACCAAAATGAGGAAACTAAGACAAATGTAATAGACAGTAAGACAAATATGATACTGGATAACTAGACGGGGAGAAGAACGAGGCAACAGATACACCACATAACGAAATATACACAATAAAACCAAAAAAATATTAAGAACTCTCTTGTAAATACAGCAAAGCGCTTTATATATATATATATATATATATATATATATATATATATATATATATATATATATTATATATATATATATATATATATATATATTATTTTGCTATGCTTTTAAAAACACTGAGAAAAACAGCAGTGTACTATCAGTCAGATTAAAGTTCCTTATGTAAAAATCACTTGTTTCTGTCATCACTGATTTGTGTAATGGTGGTGAAAGTGGCAGCCAGACTGGAGGAGAATGAAATTAGTCTCTGGACTTTCCACTACCCAAATATATCCGGCGTCAGCGGAAGCACGTCTTGTGTCCTCTCACTAGACACCTAATGCAATTTGCCAGGGTGGCGTAGTGGTGGTTCACAACGTCGAGAGTTTTGCTGGCTTCCTGGGAGGTTTTTGTTACGGGTTCGAGTCTCGGCCAGTCGCTGGCCGCATCTCCCAGTACTGTATACCGTATTTTCCGGCATATAAGGCGCACGAGTATATAAGACGATTTTTAGAACCAGTTGCAACGTAACGTTAGTAAACAACTCAACTGCTAAAGCCTAACCCAAAGACAACTCTTAAACCCTGACCTTGAGCATATAAGGCCCAGGCTGGTTTTCCAAGACTTTTGGGGAGAAATGAGCGCCTTATATGCCGGAAAAAACGGAATACACCGAGAGTTTTCTCTAATTCCAGTTTTAAGTGTAGAAATATTCTTGACTAGAAGTGTTCAAGTTACGTGAAGACTTAATAACACACAGTGTTGGAGATAAAATTTAAACCCAGCTCACCAGAGAGTAATATATATCTTTAGCAAGGAATAAACTCAGCCACTTAGGTAGTCTAGTGATAAATTGAATAAATTAGAAGAGTTTGAAGAAATTATTGTTATTATTGTATTATTATTATAATTATTATTTATTGTTATTATTATTATTATTATTATTATTATTATTATTATTATTATTATTATTATTATTATTATTATTTTATTATCACTCTTAGTAGCAGTGTAGTAGTTGTAATAGTAGTAATAATAATAGCAGAGGCAGTAGCAGGAGTAACAGTAGTAGTAGAGGTGGTAGTAGTAGTAGTAGTAGTAGTAGTAGTAGTAGCAGTAGTAGTAGTAACTGTAGTAGTGGTCATGCTAGGCCTGTGGAATGAGAGACAATCAGGTTTGACCCGACGACGAGGAAGGTGACTCCAGTCAGGGGAATGAAGGTGCTGGAGGGCGTCAAGTAGTGAAGAACACCTGCCTGCAACCATGTTGCAGGGGCAGCCCTCAACTCAACCATGTTGCAGGGGCAGCCCTCAACTCAACCATGTTGCAGGGGCAGCCCTCAACTCAACCATGTTGCAGGGGCAGCCCTCAACTCAACCATCGTCTCCCACAACGTTGCAAGTTAAGTGGCGAGGTAAGGAAATATCAAATTGGACGTAATGGAAGGTAAAAGCCAGAGGCAGGGATGAGAGAGAGACAATACTATCTGACGAAGTGACAGCCACACACGTACAAAGACACGACATCACTGCTCTCTTGACAGCCTAGGCTGCCTAGAATAGCTAGGGGAAAGCCCACGATAGAGAAAGTATTTATAGGGAACAGGACAAGTGTTTCCTAGACGCCGAACTTGAAACTTAAGTGTGTAAATTACTGGTTGAAGGTAAATTGCTAGCGTTGACACATTGTCCCACGCTAACACATACACAAGTGTTGACACACTGTCCCACGCTAACACATACACAAGTGTTGACACACTGTCCCACGCTAACACATACACAAGTGTTGACACACTGTCCCACGCTAACACATACACAAGTGTTGACACACTGTCCCACGCTAACACATACACAAGTGTTGACACACTGTCCCACGCTAACACATACACAAGTGTTGACACACTGTCCCACGCTAACACATACACAAGTGTTGACACACTGTCCCACGCTAACACATACACAAGTGTTGACTTTTACTGTTATATACACAAAAGATCCAAAGAGGAAGCTTAAGATGACTCCATTCTTACGATAAATGGGGTAATAAACAGGAAGATAGAAGAAGGTGTATTAAATATGAGGATAACGAAGGAAGATGTGGGAGAGAGTTATACGTATGTATATATATATATATATATATATATATATATATATATATATATATATATATATATATATATATAAGTGGTTCTCTGAGGCGAGAATAGTGAGGCACATTGCAATAAGGCTTCCAGGAAATCCATCCAGATCTACCGTAGATTTGTATCGAGATATAAGGGTCTCTTGCGAGGAAGACTGCATTGCCAGATGAGGCTCAGGTTGTACTCACCTAGTTGTACTCACCTAGTTGTACTCACCTAGTTGTACTCACCTAGTTGTACTCACCTAGTTGTACTCACCTAGTTGAGGTTGCAGAGGTCGAGTCCGAGATCCTGGCCCCGCCTCTTCACTGATCGCTACTAGGTCACTCTCCCTGAACCGTGTGCTTTATCATACCTCTGCTTAAAGCTATGTATGGATCCTGCCTCCACTACATCGCTTCCCAAACTATTCCACTTACTAACTACTCTGTGGCTGAAGAAATACTTTCTAACATCCCTGTGATTCATCTGTGTCTTCAACTTCCAACTGTGCCCCCTTGTTACTGTGTCCAATCTCTGGAACATCCTGTCTTTGTCCACCTTGTCAATTCCTCTCAGTATTTTGTATGTCGTTATCATGTCCCCCCTATCTCTCCTGTCCTCCAGTGTCGTCAGGTTGATTTCCCTTAACCTCTCCTCGTAGGACATACCTCTTAGCTCTGGGACTAGTCTTGTTGCAAACCTTTGCACTTTCTCTACTTTCTTTACGTGCTTGGCTAGGTGTGGGTTCCAAACTGGTGCCGCATACTCCAATATGGGCCTAACGTACACGGTGTACAGGGTCCTGAACGATTCCTTATTAAGATGTCGG